ATGTAATTCTGGGAGTTGAAGTCCACACATCTTAGAGTTGCTAAGGTTGAGAAATACTGGCATAAACTAACAAACCAGACACATCTTGCTATCAGATCTGTTATGGAGATTGTCCCTGGGGGCAGAGATGAAACAGTGGTTGGGCTGGTTTTAGCCAGGAAAAGGAGAGGCATGCATGTCACAATTTTATAGGCCTGGAGTTTAGAAATACAGCAGATGCCCTGATTGAGTGACCTTTCCATTCCTTTCTTCTTCCAACCCACCCTGAAAACCTAATATGTTTGTAACAGCCACTTCAATATATAATGTAACATGACACTTCAAAGAAATTACAGTTGTTCAGACTGAAGTGTGGTGTTGTGCAATTTCTGCCCTTTTTTGTTCTCGCGGCCTGACTTCTGTCTTTTCTTTTAGATCCAATTTAATGGGTACTCGATTCTCAGTATTTGACAATGGTGTAAATCCGGACAAAGCAAATGCTGACTGGTCCAACGTACGCCAGGAACTTGCAGCTGTAGTTTATGTAAGGAACCATTCTGTGAACCATTTCCCCTTTAAACTTCTATTTAATAGGCAGCCACTCAACCAGTATTTCTCAACCTTGGCAACTTTAAGATGAGTTGACTTCAACTCCCAGAATTCCCCAGCTAGCATGAGAAACACTACACTAGACTAATCCATATCAAGATGGTGGGTTACTAATCAGTACCAAGGAATTTCAAGAACTTTCCATTCACTGCAAAAGTCATCCTTGACAGCTATATAGCTTGATCCAAATGTCGATAAAAGTGTACTCCAATATAAAGGAAAGAAAGAATGTCTGTTCCATATGTTATGGCTGGGAATAATCTAATTTGTAGTGGGATTCATTTTTTTTCCTAAAGGAATTGTCATATGCAAAGAAATAATGTAATTTAATCTAGATTGTCAGGGCATGTTTTATGTTAGTTAAATCTTATATCTGCATATTTCTTGAGCCATCCTTCTAGATCTTAGTCCAGTTAAATATGCCATATTGCCACTTTATTATAGTTTAATGGTCTCTATCAACCTATCAGTTTAACACAGATTTTCACCAACAATTCTCCAGTGCTTTGGGGGAGCCAGAAATCAGTGTAGGTTCCTAGGTCCTCTGGTCAGAACAGGTGGGTTCCAAATGACCCACAGAAATACACCTGTCCTATAACACTGCCCATGTCTCTGAAAAGTAGAGACTGGGCTTCACACCATGCCACTTAAATAACAGTTGTTGCTCTTTTTTTAGCCATAGCAGTGAATTGCCACAATCATCTTTGCTGGGGCACCAAGGGGGCAGGATTTTCATTACAACAGTGACCTTGCTGCCCCAACAGCATTCCCTAGTGGTGGAGGCCGCAACCACCCAGTGGCAGGGAAGGGGGAGAAGCAGCATAGCAGGATGGGGAAGAGAAGGAGAAGAGACATGGGAGGAGACTGACAGAGGCAGGTGTAGCACATTCCCTTCCTTAAATTCCTTTTCTTTTTCTTTTCTTTTCTTTCATATATGTGTTGGGAGGCTAAATATATTCAATACTGGGTTTTGGAACTACTGAGACACAAGTGCAATACAAGGCTTGGGACTAGCAGAAAAAAGGCTTTAAACTGTTAAGAATCAGCTGAAGTTGATCCTGTTTTGAGGATATATGGTGGCAACTCAGTTATGAAAGTTTTGGTATTTCTATTTCAGGAGACAAATGTATTAGGTTTCAAAGGACCTCGAAAAATGACAGTGGTCATTCCTGGAATGAATTCTGATAATGAAAGGGTGCCAATCCGTCCCCGAAATGTAAGTTACACATAAACCTTCATACAAGGTTCCATTACTTCTGAGTAATCCCAGGGTTTACTCATATTGCCATCTTTCTGATGCTCTGCTTATGCTGATTACTATTTTTTTTAAAAAGATAAGATGCCCAGATGTGTAGAGAGACATTTAGTCACTTAGTGTCCTGCATCTTTACCATAAAATTCTGTGTCAGCAAAACTATCAAATGCAGAACTTCCTTTTAGAACAGAAGACATAAGGGTGTTTTCAAGGTTTTGTTTCTAAAACAATCTTCCTGAACTTGGCACCCTCCAGGTGTGTTGAACTGCAATCCCCATCATGGTTGGGAAGTGTTAGAAGATGTAGACCAACACATGTGGAGAGCACCAAGTTGCAGAAAGTTGCTCTGCAACAAAGGATCTCAATCAACAAGTAATATAAATGGTAAAGCGTTTCCATTGACAAAACAAGACTGAGTAGGTCAAATGCTATATAAGCATTTGCTACGTCATCCAGTTTGACATGAAGATGTATCTTCAGATCCTTGCTTCGCCATCTCCTTCCAAACAAACCTCATATACAGTTTTAAAATAAAATGATTATCTCAAGCTCCTCAGAGGAAGAATGGAATACATCAGCATCACTATGGATATAATTCTTTCCTCAAAAATTTCACAGCAGAGAACACTGATTCTGAAATCTGAGGAAAGAGTCAAAGGTAATCTTTCCTGACCTGGTGACCTCTACCTGGATTGGCATTCCAGCTTCCAAAATTCCTAGTCAATATGCTGGCACCAGGTTGTCAAAAGCTAAGCTAAGGATTGCAAGCTTTGATATATAATTATATGTAAATATTGTCCTTTACAAGCTCCCTTGAACTCCACTCATGAAACCTGGAGGAACAAGTATGTACATACTTAGTTTCCTAGTATATTAATATCAATACTTTTATTGTGCAAGCACCTTTAAGAGCAGCAAGGCTAAGATGTTACCATAATAATGTTCACAAATTTTAGAAGACTTCTTGTTATAATATACACCCTGAGAATCATTTGTATGTTATTTCTTAATGCAAATACAAGCAAAGAAATATTAAAGAAGGCATGCTTTTGAATTACTTGTGGTAATGCTTTTTCTCACATCTTCCTAGGATAATGATGGGTTACTCGTAAGATGGCAGAATAAGATAATGGACAACTTAATTGAGCTGCGTAACAAAACCCCTGTGTGGAATGATGAAACTCAGTCCTATGTGCTGAACTTCCATGGAAGAGTAACTCATGCCTCAGTTAAGAACTTCCAGATTGTGCACAGTAATGACCGTAAGTCTTGTGGGATTGTGGATTTTTTTTTTTTAATGCCTCTACATGAATGCTGACTGAGAAGCTATTGCTGCTGCTAGTTAGATTCATGGTTAACTACAAATACAGAGTCAGAGGAGGCATTGTGCTGCATTGTCCATTCAAAAAGGAGGTAGGCAAGGGGACCAAAATGAAATCCTGGACCTGCATGGCTGCTTTTTCCCCATGTGGATGTGTCCCCTTTCCTGTCACTTGACAGGACCAAATTAGATGTGGTGTAAGATAAGTATGGTTAATGTGTGTGTGTGTGTGCACACCTTCAAGTCAGCACTGACTCCTGGTGACTGCCTGGATAAGTTCCTACAAAATTTCATAAGTGGCTTGCCATTGCCTCCTTCCCAGGGCTGAGAGGGAATGACTGGGTCAGGGTCACCCAGCTGACTTTGTGCCTAAGGTGGGACTAGAACTCACAGTTTCCTGGTTTCTAGCCCAGAGCCTTAACCACTACACCAAACTGGCTCTCATGGTTAATTAAATCAATTAATTTAAATAATTTAAATAATTTAAAATATTTAAATTGATGCCATGCAAACAGGATTGAAATTAAGGCTGGCCTATGAGAAGGATGGATTTAACTCTCCCCACTTCCCCCAGCATGGTCCCAATGAAAATACCACTCCACTTAGTCTCAGGAGATCCCATGTATGTGAAACCTGTTTTATGCAAACATGTGCTGTATGCCACCTGGACTGGATTTGTTTCATTGCTAAGAACAAGAAACCAATCAAAATTTGGAGCAGTACACACTGAAGAGTGGACAGATCAGTGTTTTTTTAATTTTGACAGGCTAGATTGGGCTCAAGGCCATGATTTATTTAACCATGATTTGTTGAGTAAAGCATAATTGGCTGGGTTCACAAGCTGCACTCAAATCAAAACATAACACATTTGGCATAATGAAATATGTGAACTAAACCATAGTTCTTTGCTGGATCTACAAAATTAGGTTTAAAGGAACTGTTTGCCATGACTTAGTAAACTGGAATCTTGATCTATTATGATATGCTCAAAATATCATAACAAACTGTTACACACATACAATCTGAGACATAGGAGCCATTTGAAACTGCATCTGTATAAAAAGCAGTAGTTTCTAAGATCTAATTTAAAAAGGTCTGTATGTAGTGCATTTATTTTCCATCTTATTCCATCTTATTTATTTCTATCATGCAACTCTAGCCAACGTTCATAGGAATTCAAATGGGGTCTCCCATCTGAGTGCTGGCCAGACTCTAATCTGCTTAGCTTTAGCAAGATGTCTGTCTCAGACATGATAGAGATCTCCACAATCACATAAGATTTTTCAGCTTTCTATATGGAGGTGGCTGTGTGAAATGCTTCTGGCAACTGTTGCACAGAGTACATAAGTGAAGTCCTTGGGGTTCTCTGAGCTTGGTTGTTTTCTTGCAAACGTTTTGTTACCTGGCTAGGTAACATCTTCAGTGCACTTGGCTAGGTAACATCTTCAGTGC